GGCGTCAGCATGAGCCTGCCCCTGACCATGTGCAGGACATATTCAGGGGCTGCTCCCCTGTGTACCGTTACCTGGTTGTCGGCCTGAAGGTCGACAACAAGGGGGTCATGATGCTGCGTTGCACTTTTTGCAACGAAGTATTTAAGGGGAGCCAATTCCAGGCGACGAGGCATTTCACGTAGACGAACTACGGCAAGGACGTCAGCGACGAGGCTTTGTACGAGATCGCGCGACGGAGTCAACAGAAGTTCGAGAGTGTTCAAATGGAGAGGGTTGCCAGGTACGCGGCGGAGCGCGGACTCGATGTGCCTGGCACGGGTGGTGTGAGGGGAGGAGAGGCGGGGCGGCAGCCCGTGGAGGGAGCGTCAGGAGGGGTCAGGGGAAATGGTGAAGGCGGAGACACGGAGGAGGGCGCGATTGACATCGATCGCAAGGCGCGTGTCCCGGGCGAGCAGGGAGTCCCGGGACACGAGGACGTGCCTGAGGTTTATCCAGGCACTGGGGAGAGGATGGAGGACTTTTTGAGGCGAGCAGCCAAGGGACCTGTAGGGGAGGGTTCTTCCAAGAGGAAGGAAGGTGGAACAGATCCGGCCGCCGCCCCAACTGGGAAGAGGCTTCGCTAGCAGAAGGTCAGTGACGTCTACGGTGGCGAGTGGGTTGCTCGGCACAAGAAGACATTCCTTCGCTGGCTCTATTCCAGCGGGGTCCCCTTCAATGCCTTCCGCAACCAGGCTTGGAAGGCATACCAACAGGTCCTTCTTGAGCAGCTTGGCAGTTCCCCGCCCGTTGTGCTCCCCAGCCACAGTGAGATTGCGAGTATGCAGGCGGTGGAGACCCACCGTGAGGAGTTGGCGGAGGAGTTGGAGGAGGTGAGGCAACCATTCTGGATCACTGGTGCCACCCTCCTCTCCGACGGGAGGAGATCACGAGACAGGAGACCGATTGTGAATTTCCTTGCCGCCGGCTCGCGAGGGGTCGTCGTGTACACGACGATCGATCGCGAGGGCGAGCCGGACGATGCAGTGCACGTCCTTCGGAGATGGGTGACCATCTTCCACGAGTTTAGTTTCGGCCGCCCGCAGCGGGTCAATGCGATATGCACAGACTCCGCATCGGCGTACGTGGGGGCTGCGAGGGCATTGGCCTCGCTAGGCATCCCTCCTGCACTCAGGAGGATCACTTGGCTTCCGTGTTCCGTCCATGTCTGCAACAAATTGTTGTCAGACATGAGTTGCGATGCGTTTGTGGACGCGATTACACGCGCTCGTGTTCTGGTGGTGTTTTTCAAAACCCACCAGGCCGCCCTTCATTTCTTTAGGAAGCGCAACCCCAACAAGGGGCTTGTGCTTTCTTGCGAGACGCGGTTCGCGTCTGTTTATTCTATGTTGGAGAGACTGTTGGCCCTGCAGGACGCTCTGCAGGCGATGATGTGAGGGGATGACGGGGGGGAGTTTGCTTCTATACCGTGGTCTGCCGATGTGTGTGACATGGTGCGTTGGATGCGCCGGCAGATCAAATGGGAGCCTTGGTGGCACACGATGGCCACCATACTCCACATCATGCAGCCCCGTCATGGAGCTGCTTAGGCGGATGGATCGTGGGGGGCAGTACATGTCCCTCATGATCGAGTGGACACAGGATCTCGTCCGCCGTGTCACTGATGCATGTGCTCCTTTGGGGAGGGTTTTCGCTGACCGCATCATCAAGCGTGTGCAGGCTCGCACACAGCACATGCTGGAGCCTGCTCACTGCGCGGGGTTCTTACTGAACCCCTGCAGGCGACATGTTGAGTACTTTTCGTGCGAGGTGAGGGATTACCCTCGTTGGCTTGTGAGGCAAGCCAAGAGGTACATTTTGACGCAGACGGGTTTCGAGGAGGATGGTATGGAGTACATCATTGCATGTCGGCAGTTTGAGGACTTCCACATGCAGCAGGGCACATTTGGGGATTGGGGAGGGGGGGAGGGGCGTGCTCGTGGGCGTGCTTGCAGCGGCGACAGGGAGACGATTGAGTGCGCGTCCTGGTGGTCTCAGTACGGGTCTGGCGCACCTGAGTTGCAGCGCTGCGGTCTTCGTGTGATGCACATGTGGCCTTGCGCCTCTCCAGCGGAGAGGAACTGGGTAGTCCACGAGGGCATTCATACGAAGAAGCGCAACCAGTTGGCCTTTGAGAAGGTCGTTCAGCTCGTTGAGATCACCGCGAATGTGTGGTTGTTGGAGTATCGGCGGGCTGGGTGCGGTTATGTGCTGCCATGGCAGCTGGACGAGGGCATGCTAGACTGCCAGGCCGGACTGGAGTTGGAGCCAGTGCACACGGACACGCGCAGGGGGATCACGGCGGAGGAGATTGCCCGTCAGGTTGCGCTTATCACCCGGGATCCCATTGGGGTCTCCGCACCACCCGCCGCTGAGGCCGTATTCGGTAGACGTGCTTCCATTTTTCGTCCTTACCCCAGGGAGGATGATTCCGACGAGGAGCCGGTACCCGAGGCAGCGGACCACCCCGCGCTCCGCNCCAGCGGAGAGGAACTGGGTAGTCCACGAGGGCATTCATACGAAGAAGCGCAACCAGTTGGCCTTTGAGAAGGTCGTTCAGCTCGTTGAGATCACCGCGAATGTGTGGTTGTTGGAGTATCGGCGGGCTGGGTGCGGTTATGTGCTGCCATGGCAGCTGGACGAGGGCATGCTAGACTGCCAGGCCGGACTGGAGTTGGAGCCAGTGCACACGGACACGCGCAGGGGGATCACGGCGGAGGAGATTGCCCGTCAGGTTGCGCTTATCACCCGGGATCCCATTGGGGTCTCCGCACCACCCGCCGCTGAGGCCGTATTCGGTAGACGTGCTTCCATTTTTCGTCCTTACCCCAGGGAGGATGATTCCGACGAGGAGCCGGTACCCGAGGCAGCGGACCACCCCGCGCTCCGCATTCCCCGTGAGATCGACGAGACGCACGAGGATCCCGAGGAGGAGACCAGGGCGCATACTGCACGACGGGCGGCGAACAGGGCGGAGAGGGAGAGGATGGGGGGAGAGGAGGAGTTGTGGGGACCGTTCGGGGAGGTCGCTTCCACGGCCGGCACAAGAGCGCGGGCGATGAGCCCCGCTCCGATGAGGCGGGAGTCGTCAGTGCCACCACCTTCTGCTCCGAGTCCTGCACCACCATCGCCCGTCGCGCCATATGAGCCGACCACAGCTGCAGAGGACACGGAGGAGTTGGCGTCCTCTTTGCCTCAGCGCGGACTACTCCACAGAGGCGGGGTAGTCCGACAGTTGAGGTTACGATCACCTTCTCCGGGGGTCTTGCAGGAGGAGAGGGGACCGTCGGCAGCAGCAGTGGAGGGGGAGATGGCAGTGGAGGGGGGATTGGCGGACACGACGATTGCAGGTGTGGTGGACCAGATAGCTGTAGCAGCAGCGGCTTCATTGCTAGAGGAGCTGGCAACTTCAGTGTTGGCGGAGGAGGCACCAGCGCCAGGGGGAGCAGATGCAGTAGAGGGGCAAGCGGGAGCAGCTGAAGGAGCAGCGGGAGCAGCTGAAGGAGCAGCAAGAGGAGCAGTTGGAGGAGCAGCTACACTTGATGGGCTTGTGGCTGCAGCAGCAGGAGCAGCTAGAGGAGCAGATGCAGTGGAGGGGGTAGTGCCAGGAGCAGTGGAGGAGGAGATAGGGGCACAGGCGGAGGTGTCGCGTGGGGGCGGCGACGAGCGCCTCACGCAGCAGTTCCTCACGGAGCAGTACGATCCGGTCATGGCGGGTATGACTCCAGGTGTGGCGAGGGGGTTGGGGATCTCGGATTCGCAGATGGGGAGCCACCTGGACTTAGATATGTCGATGGGCCTTCCACCTAGTTGAGGTGGGGCGACATCGACGGATCGTGCTCCATCGAGGGACGACGCGGCTGGAGAGAGTCACATGCAGCCCCAGAGAGAGACGACGACCGGGTCTCCAGATGCGGCACACGACATCATGGAGCGAGAGAGGGCTCGGCTTATGGCATCGACTAACCCGCATGCTCAGGCGTTCGCACACGCGTTGGAGGATGCGAGGTGTCGAGAGACAGGGGGGGATTGTGTGAAGGGTGGGGTCACTGGGGTGGTTGCGGGGGAGGATGTTGTGGAGGGGGTGGCAGCCGAGGCAGGGG